AGTGCTGATTTTCACACACCAGGTAATGTTCTTAAGCAAATTAGAACACATAACACCTGAGCAGGTTATTACTTCAATCAAAGATGCTAACATTTCCTGAAAAACCTCTGATTCCTTGTAAAAGTTAGAGGCACAAAATAGTGCACCCCCCCTCCAAGCTTAAGGAGGAGATTTTAGGGCAGAGATGGGGAACCTGAGGTTTTCTAGTTGTTGTTCAGCTGTAACTTCCATGACTGCCGAGACTGAGCATTACAATACTGTTAAACCAATCATATTTTTGGTGAAAGGCAAATGTGAAAGACTTGCAATCCCTCCCATCCTGACAAGGGAAACCCACATGTATGGTGGCCCATCAGGAGCTCATTAAATTGTGTTCTTGCTTTAATTCACATGTAGTGCACTCATGTGGTGAGACTGGAGTAGGGCTGAACTGCTAGCGCTGACTCTGGCACTCTTTCTTCAGGTGTAGTTCTGGCAAGGAAGCCTCTGCCAAGGAACTCCAACATGTAAGCAGCTGCACATGCAAGAGGACACACAGTTGCATGGTGCTACGGATCACGTGGAGTCCATGCATAGGCAAAAGAAGTTGCTCCCATGCTGGGGTTCCTTTGCAGATATCCACATGTGATGGGACTAGGTTTCATAGGCTAAAAACACACAGACTTCTCTGTGGAAGTTGAACAGGAAAAATGAACTTAAAAGCTAGTGTGTAACAACACTGAGGCACAGGGTTTTTTTGTGGTTCTGTCTTAAAATAATGAAGGGCCTCAAGGTAGTGATGTGTCTTATATTTCACTCTTGGGAATTAGCTTGATGAACTTTTAAAATGAAAGTTGTATGTATCCTGCTTATTGAAAAAGACATCTGAACTAGCTTCTTGATAGTTTGATCCTAAGTTGCTCGGACAATTTTATTTCATATGTTAGAACCTGAACAAAAAAGTAGTGCAATAATTTATTCTTATGGGGTTGCTTTGGCTTTAGTATTCCTTTCCTTTCCTGTTGTTTGATCCAGTGTAATTGCATAATAGATTTCATTACATATTTTTTGCGGTTGCAGTAAAGAGGAAACACCATTCAGCAAGTTCCTTTGTTTTTTCTCACCATCCTTTCACAATGTAAATGTTACTACAGTGGTACCTCGGGTTACATATGCTTCAGGTTACATACGCTTCAGGTTACAGACTCCACTCACCCAGAAATAGCGCTTCAGGTTAAGAACTTTGCTTCAGGATGACAACAGAAATTGTGCTCCAGCGGCGCGGCAGCAGCAGGAGGCCCCATTAGCTAAAGTGGTGCTTCAGGTTAAGAACAGTTTCAGGTTAAGTACGGACCTCCGGAACGAATTAAGTACTTAACCCGAGGTACCACTGTATTTCTCCTTGTTCTAAGTCAAGGCTGGGGAATCTGTGTCCCACCCCATGACCAGTTGAGGGAAGGGGGTGGCTTTGGAATTTGATAAGTTTCACAAATTCTTCTTTTTATGAGCATTCTGCAAATTCTGGTCCAGTCTCTTAGGCTGGAGCTGCAACAGTAAGCAATTAAGAAGTGTGATTGTTAAAATACATAATTTATTTGTTAACTGATATAGATACTGGTATATGTTGGCAATTATTTTATTATGACAAGGGCCTCATAAATTGGAAGTTGTATGGGCCACTCTGGACCTATGAGCGGGACCGGATCTACCAGATGTTGGGCTACAACTCTTATCATCCCTGACCGTTGGGGCTGATGGGAGCTGAAGAACATCTGGAGGGCCACAGGTTTCCCACACGTGCTCTAAAGTGGTGGGAAATAGGAGGTCGGAAACCTGCGTGCTGGTTTCCCACAGGCATCTAGTTGGCCGTGGTACAGTCATACTTCGAGTTAAAGTAGCTTCGGGATGAGTATTTTCGGGTTGTGTGCTGCGGCGACCCGGAAGTAACGGAGCGTGTTACTTCCGGGTTTCGTCGTATGCGCAGACGGTCAAAATGACGTCATGCGCGGAAGCGGCGAAACGTGACCCGTGACCTGCAGACGCTTGGATGTGGGTTACGTTCGCTTCAGGATGCAAACGGGACTCCGGAACAGATCCCATTCGCATCCAGAGGTACCACTGTATTAACCAGCTGTTTCCAAATTGGCCCATGGGCCCCAAAACACAGGCATTCCATTTTCTAACTACTGTGATGTGCTGTTTTCACCAATAATTTCACTTTCACCAGAATTAGGCCCCTTTAATTCATGTTTTCAAGAAACTGGTGATACAATTTTTTAAAATAAGAGTACCATATAGAGTACCTCGTCAAGCATTCCCATGTAGGCCAACAAATGGCCCCATCCTGATATCACACACACTGAGAAGCCCCTTCTCCGTCATCTGTGTGTGCATCTGTAGGAAGCTGGATTTTACACAAAAAACATGGAATGCATGTAGGTCTGCCTGCAGCCCTTGTCTAATGGAATTAAGTGGCTAAATCACAGTAGTGTTGCTTGGCACCCTGTGGCCACAGATACACACAGGTGTACTAAAATAGTGGGCATAAACAAACCCTACTATGTATTGTGTTGTGGCCGCAGTGTATTAAAATTGTGTTACCTTCTATCCAACAGAGCTTTATATTATCTGTTTCATTTGAAGGCTTCTGTAGATCTGTGCAAAATTTGAAAAATATGTGTTGTATTATCAGCATACTAACATCAATTTTCTAAGCACTTATTGAGTAAATGCATGCTGGATGTAAGTCCTCTGGGTTCATCCAAATTACACCAATGAGGTATTCATCCTGTTCTTTGTATTATAATTTTACCCAGCTTTTCTATACTTTATGATGGAAATTTAAGTACCTTGTGTATCCTTAAACTAATCAGAATAAGAAGCCACTTTTCTGTGCCAAAGAAAGAGAACTATCATTTTTCACATTCTTAAACTTTCCAGTTCAGTTTCAAGGAAGATTATGTTACTGTGACTTCTGAATTCCTGAAAGTTCTCTTGTCTTTGTAGCTGCAAAGGCCTCCTGAGCATTTCAAAGGAAATAATGTGAATTTTTTGTGTGCAGTATGTTTTGTGTTGTGCATACCAGATACAGTCTACATTTTGTGTGCATGTGATTAGACTGGGGGGGAAATAATGCAGTCCAGTATTATGATTTATTGACTGAATCTTTTTCCTGCTGAAAACTTGCCAAAACTGAAAGCTTGCCCCCACCCCACTTCCATATTAGAAACAGCTACTGTTTTTGTTGATCTTTTTAACTTCTGAATAGGCCTATTTCAAGTCATACCAGCATGAGATCTTACATTAATAATATACTTATTCAGCCACTACTAGAGTAAAACCATTGGCATATGAAGGTTAGAATTTCTTAAAATTGTTTTCAGGTGCATTTTGTGAAAGGTGAGTAAGATTATATGTGTGTGTGTGTGTGTGTGTGAGAGAGAGAGAGAGAGAGAGAGAGAGAGAGAGAGAGAAATTATTTCTATTTATTGTTTCATCTTACAGATGTGAAAGTAAATTTTAACATAGCTTAGGCTTTCCAAAAATTAAGTCTGCACCAGCACCCATTGTTCATTTTGCATCTTTCATCTTCCTAAATCTATACACACACACAGAGAGAGAGAGAGAGAGAGAGAGAGTGAGTCCTTACAGGAAAGAAGCCATTGGGGAATGAGCATTGCCTGGACAAATAGAAGCAGGATTGAACCTTACAAACTTACTCTTGGCATGTAGAAGTGTTTTAGATGTGTCAGCTCCTGCAGCCAAGCTGGTGGCAAACGTCCTGCTCCGCTTTCCTTTGGACCACATCAGAGAGGCCAAGAGGGGAGCCTTGGTGTCCAGGCAGCCCAATATCTCCAGACACACTGCCCAGGCTTGAGCCTCTGGAAATTCACTGGTGCTGCTAACACAGTGGTTTGACATAACCCCCAGAAAAGCACTCCATTGTCTCTTGAGAAAGATGGATGCCAACAATGACCTTGTGCCACAATGGAGGGGTTCTTAGCATCAGCACTCAAAGAGGGTATCCTTTGAATTTTTTTAAAATGTAAGTGTGTGTGTGTGAGAGAGAGGGGGGGGGGAGGAAAGTTAGCATTGGGTTGTAGTAGTGTATTTGTGGGTATTCTATAAACATTACATTTCTCTCTTTTTTTTTTGCCCTATTGATGCAAAAGCTAGATTCTTCCCTTCAATGTTACAGGATGTTTCACACACTATGATTGCTTGTAGGATACCATGAATTTTCCTTGAGGTAAAGACCCAAAATGAAATGTTGCAATAGCAGCTGGCAAATCAGAAAATCCCAAACAGATAACAAAGAAGGAGTTTGTAATTTTGCTGGTGTTTTATTTTGTTACTGAGGAATCATGCTTTGGCCTGGAATTTTGAGGTCTTCCCAAGCCATAATTTCTGTATATGGCTATATTTTATGTCTAATGAATTTCAGTAAGCACCTGCAAACAAATGCTAGTGCTGTTATCACTCTTCTTGTCCTGCCTGTTTGTTTACAGTTACAACAAGCCTCTGAAGTTTCTCAAATGAGAGGAGCAAGAGTAATCTCTGCAGAAGATCTTATTTTTTTGATGCGCAAAGATAAGGTACAGTTATTAAATGCAACTATTAAAATAATGGTTGGAAAAAATATTCTGTTAAAATAAATGGCTACCATGTTTTAAATAAAGTTTTTATAGGCAGAATTTTATTATAACTAATTATTCTGCATCTCACTTCATATTGTACATTTGTTTCAGATTGTACAAATGAAATGTAATTCCATCCAGATAAATTATTTCTTTGTGGGAAATTAGCTAGCTGCACAGCCCAGTTAGTCCTTTCTGATCTGCCAAGAGTTTAAAGCATCCTTGATTCTTCAGGTTCTTGACATCAATACTTTCCCATTTACAGTTCCTAAATAGTCCAGATCTTGCTTTAAGCATGCAAAACAGATAAGAGAATTAGAGAACATTAGCTTTGGAAGGAACCCCAAGGGTCATCTAGTCCAGCCCCCTGTAATGCAGGAATCTTTTGCCCAACATGGGGTTGGAACCCACGACCCTGAGATTAAGAGCCTTATATTCTACCATCTGAGCTATCCCAGTTGGAAGATTATATCTCTCCCCCCCTCCAGTGCATAAAAGGTGCTCAGATGTGTTCATTTATGCAATTCTGAAGCCTATTTTAATCAAAGTTATGAGACACAATTGCTTGGTGCCTTGAGTAGGACCTGGGGCAAGCAGCACATGAAAACAAATTTGGGAGAATGTCAGTTAATTTACAAATGTGCTAGTAGAAGTAGAGGTCCTGATTTTAATCAATATAGCAGCACATAGTGGTGGTGGGAGTTTGAGCTTTCTGGAGAACCCTGTTGACACACACACACACACACACACACACACACACACATTGCCATTTTAATATGGAATGTGGCTGGAGAATGAAGGGTTAAGCCTTCTCCCATGTGCTACAGTCCCAATGAAAATCCCTTACCACGCCTACTGTTAAATGAATGACCACAGTGTGCTTTTTAATGACATGATCATTGTCACATATAGTTTGTCAATGAACTGATTGGCAGACTTTGCCATGTGAAAATGCTAGGTGAATGTACCGCATTTTGTGCACCATAACACTCACTTTATTCCTCCTAGAAAGTAAGGGGAAATGTCTGTGCGTGTTATGGAGGGAATGCCTATGGGTGGCATGCCTACGGATTTTCCTCCTCTAAAAACTACGTGCGTGTTATGGTCGGGTGCGTGTTATAGAGCAAAAAATACGGTACTTAAGTTAAACAGAGGAATTGTGCAAGTGCATGTATTTTTTTTTTCTAAACCAAAAAATTCAGGTAATTTTCTTTTCCAAAGCACGCTATTCTCCAAATCCTGCCTTATTAATAGATCTTCCACTTTTGAAGGGCACCAAGGAGCACTGAAGCCAGCGGATTTCTGCACTGGCAACCTAATGACGCCTTTCTGTGCACCCTGCAACTTTGATTATATCAATGAGTGTGTTTGTAATTTTGTGTATGTGTTCTAAGGTAGCGGCTGTGTCTCTCAGTTGGAGCTATGTTTCTTACTCTGGCAGGCAGTGTTTGTATCCATTGTTATTAGCACTCTTCTCTTCTTTCTCCCTAGAAAAAGCTTAGAAGGCTACTTAAATATATGTTTTTCCGAGACTACAAATCTAAAGTTGTCAAAGGCATTGAAGAAGATGATCTTCTTGAAGGTAGGTAAACTTGTAAATAAATTGTATTTCTGGTCTAAAACTCCCTTTAAATCCATATCAGCAAAAAGATAAGAACTCACTCTGAAACTCACTTACAGGTGGTACCTAACACCACAGGAACTAATGCTAATACGCCCAGGAACCTCACCAAAATGCTGGAGAGGATTCACCTCCACAGGCACGTACTTCCACATATGGTGGGAATGTCCTAAAATCCAACTCTTCTGGACATCAATCATACAATAAATATGCAAAATAACTAAGCAAATATTAGAAGTCACTCCAGAACTGGCCCTACTAAACATCTTCCAAGACAATAATGCCACTCACAACACAAATAACTCATAACCCACCTATTCTCAGCAGCCAGAAACATCATAGCCAGACGCTGGAGAGACCTGTCAGGAGTAAGCATGGACCAATGGTATCAAACAGCCTTATTAGAAAAACTAACCAACAAACTAAAACTGACACGGGGACAAACAGAAGAAGACGTCTTCACCCCGGTATGGTTACCCTTCATCACATACACAGCCCAACAAGACAGTGACAAGAATCCACCAACAGCATACAAATCAATCTGGCTAACCTGATCCAAACACACACACACACACACACACCCCACTCACACACAAAAAGAAAGTTCACCACAGCCAATCACAAACAACCACACCCTAGGCCAACCCCAACCTCTCTCACCACCAAAGGAAGACAAGCAAATAGTAAAGAGAACCCACACAAGTGATGCTGACACAAAACCCCGCACATATGCTAAGTAGAATAGAAGCATTGCCCCCCCACCCCTCTCACCATTCCCCCCTCCACCTCTTCCTCCCTTTTCTTCCTAATGTAACACTAATGTCTCAACAAATGAAACTGATCTGCAGAAAACGCAACTTGAAAAAGAGACATTGCACATACTTTTGTAAACCAAGAAATATTTAATAAAAATATATTATTTATAAATAAATGAATGAATGAATGAATGAATTTCTTTGGGGAGTATTCAGCATACAAACTGTATATACCAAATGGAAAATATATTCCTCATGCAGATAACTTTAGACACCCAAAAATATTTACTTACTTGGGAACTCCATTTAGCCTTGTGTTTTTCCTTTCAAATTACTTATAAAAGTGCAGTATGGCAGTCCAGCAACCAAATGATCAGTAGACCTGTTTAATGTCAAGAGCTGTGTTGAGCTAAGGAACTGGTGCTGATTAAAAGGCTTAATTGATTTCAGCATGTGTAATTTACGTGTGGCAGCCTCCAAGTGGAAGGGGGAAGGTGGTTGGCTTCAAAATTAATTTGAATAGGCATTTTGTTAATTTATTATCAAAGAATCTGACATATTTTATGAAGCAACCATAATCTAAAATCACTTAATTCTGATATATAGCTTGGAGGTGTTTTAAATTGTACACCGGCAGTGGACTGAAAAAACTTTCTCCTCTCCCTTCTCTATGGGCAGTGGCAGCTGGTGTCTTCCCAAAAGTGGTGATGCTTGAAGCACAACTCAGCTCTTCACATTTGCCTCACCCCCCTCCACCCCACCCCAATCCCTCTGCCCATGACTTGTTTGCGGCTAGGTGATCAGGCCATGGCAGAAAATCTTTAAAGACAGCATGCATGTTACTTATAATTCCCAAGTACAGACTTAGAACTGAGGCTGACAGAAAGAGATTTGACCAAGGCCAGACAATGTCTGTGGTTGTCTGAGGTAAAGCTATAGAGGCTTTCTGTCCCATAAATAGTTGTGTTTTGGCGGAAGCAGCATTACTCATCTTCTTGCTTAAATATTATGTTTTGAAAATGTGAAAATAGCTAAGGTGTTTCTGGGAATGTATGGAATGCACTTCTTTCACCACTAAGTAACCATAATCAGCAACACTTTATCTGAGATTAGAGATGAAATTTCATAAATGTAAATCCCAGCCTGACTGGAACTCAGGAACCTCCTTAAAAATTAAAAAATGGGGGTGTTGGAAGACAGTGCAGATGGAAGGAGACCAGGACTGATGCAGATAAGTGCGAGGAAGGACAGCAGCAGAGCGATGATGGTGGAGGAGTAGCGAGATGTGAGAAAGGAGAGCCACGGGAGAGGTTGCTGCTGGAAATGGCAGACATTCCCTTGAAGCCCATGAACTGTGAGAGGAGGCCTCCACTGCGCTCAGGACACTTGGACAAGTTTAATGGAACTTACACACAAAGAACTATGAATGCCTGGACATAATCCCATGTATTGGGTTCCAGCCTAATAATATTAATTTTTGTCAATCAAGTAGTCATACACACTGCCATCCTGTCAGGTGAAAGTAACTTCTACCACACCCATTTCACATTTGAGATCTATATGATTCGTGTGATTAGTTTTACAGTCATACCTTGGATCCTGAACGCCTTGGTACGCCTTTGTACGCCTTTGGCTCCCAAACTCCACAAACCCAGAAGTGATTGTTCTGGTTTGTGAACATTCTTTTGGAAGCCGAACGTCCAACGCTGCTTCCGCGGCTTCCAGTTGAGTGCAGGAGCTTCCTGCAGCCAATCGGAAGCCGCACCTTGGTTTCTGAACGTTTTGGAAGTCGAACGGACTTCTGGAGTGAATTCAGTTCGACTTCCAAGGTATGTCTGTATTATGTTTCCTGTGTCCTCCTTAAAACTGAGGCTTGTTGGGATATTGTGGTAGATTACATGAAGGACATACCTCAAAGTAAGTTTGACATGGATCTATGCCAGAAAGCGACTGCCCAGAAAGGGGTGAAGAGACTGTCATGTCATTAGCCATTATGGTATGCCATATTATGATTTTGAGCATGATATAGTGAACAACATTGCACCAAATTTGAATCAGCCATAAGCAAGCTGAGTGATTTCTGAGAAATTGGAGACCATAATAGAAACAATGAGTCTTAGAACTTCACATTTCTTCAGTGCCTGGGTGTTATCTTTTCATATATATTATGTACTTTGTCAATGATAACACCAGGATCAAATCAAATTGTTTGTTTCTCCCTTCAATTTCTTTCAGACAGAGTCAGTAGCAGCAGCACCAATAAACGTCAGAAAATTGCTCAAGATTTTCTTATCTCTATTGATCAGACTGGAGAGCTGTTGGGCTTGTTGGAAGATGATGAGATTGATGATGTAAAACTAGAGAGAATGGAGGTAAATTCTGGACCTTTTTCCTGTACGTGGAAGGTTAAGTTTACATAGCTCAGCTCCTTGATGTGTAGCAGGATCCTTCACCTACAGCCCCCATTTACACGGCAACTAATGGACTCACATCAGTGTTCAGAGAATGGGGAGTGCATTCCATTTGGAAGGTGCCTTGGCCATAAATTAATATTTTAATTAAGCAGATGTTCCTGGCAAGTTACAGGAAAAGGCAAAATAGCAAACAAACCCAGATTTGTTCCCAATTCAAAAATAGCACTTAACGTAACCCTAAAAAGTGTAAATACCATCTAAGCAAAGCTTTCTACCTAGAGACAATTTTAGTGGGATCCCAATACCAAATGTAACTTTGCAAATAAATTAATGCATCTTAAAAGCTTGATATGCATACCACTTGTTTTAGAAGCAGCAGTTTATGTTCCCAGAAATGTTCAGAGTGTTACACTCACCGAGTTTTCACAGTGTTAAATGTAAAATAAATATTAGACATGCAAATGTTGACCACTCTGTATGTTGGCTGTCTACTTGTTGTGTAAAAAGCAGGGATTTCACCTGTCTTACGATAGATGTGATACCGTATTTGTTTGCCTATTAACCAAAATTGTCAGAGAATTTGGGATAGAGCCATCTGTTGTGGAAGCTTTAGCTGAGTTACCTGCATTGCAGGGGGTTGGACTAGATGACCCTTGGGGTCACTTCCAACTCTA